GTGCGTTATTTTACTTTTTCGGTTTTGCCTTTTGGACTTTCATCAGCTGGTCATATATTTACCAAGACAGTACGTGTGTTAGTTAAATACTGGAGATCTTTAGGATTTCCCATGGTGGTTTATTTAGATGATGGTATGGGTACAGCAGAAAATTTTGATACATGTTTTGAATTATCGAAAACAGTAAAAAATGATTTACTGCTTTCCGGTTTTATTGCTAATACAGAAAAGAGTGTCTGGGAACCAGTACAAAATATTGATTGGTTAGGTTTTGTTTGGAACTTTAAAGATTGTACTTTAGAAATATCGCTTAAAAAATTATTTGCTTTAAAGCTGGTAATATCGAGCGTAGTAGATGGCAAAACTATTTTGACTTATAGATGTATTGCTAAAATATGTGGAAAAATCATTTCTATGATTCCTGCTCTTGGTAACGTTTGTCAAATGATGACGAAGCATATGCATATGCTAGTCTGTTGTAGATCTGCATGGGACGATGTCATCCCTATAAATGACAACATTTTGAAGGAACTAAAATTTTGGTATTTTGAATGCGAGTCATTATCTTTCCAACGCATTGTACCTATAAATAGAATACCACAGCGTGTAATTTTCACTGACGCTAGTCAGTATGCCGGAGCAGGGTTTATAACGAATGATAACAAAATTGTACATTTTATGTTTGATGGTCATGAAAGAAACAAAAGTTCTACATGGAGAGAATTGAAAACTGTAGAAAAGAATATTTCTTCTTTTAAATCTGATTTAACAGGAAAATTTGTTAAACTTTATACAGATAACCAAAATGTAGTACAGATTGTTAAAAAAGGTAGCATGAAAGTAGAATTACAAGACATTGCTTTAACCTTATTTCATATTTGTTTGTCACATAATATTTTCTTGGATGTTGAATGGATACCTAGAGATAAAAATACTTATGCAGATTATCTGAGCAAAATTTTTGATTATGACGATTGGGGTGTTTCCTATCAAATTTTTATATATTTTGATAAATTATGGGGACCATTCACATGCGATCGTTTTGCAGATTCGAAGAACAAAAAAGTAGACTATTTTAATTCTAGATATTATTCACCAGATACTTCCGGGGTTGATGCTTTCGCATATGATTGGTCTGCTCATAATAACTGGTTAGTTCCACCAGTTTGTTTAGTTAGCAAGTGTTTAAATCACATGCGGTTATGTAAAGCTAAAGGCACTTTAGTTGTACCTAAATGGCCATCAGCGTTATTTTGGCCTATCTTAGTGAATAGGTTTTCAGACAGATTTAAATCTTTTGTTATAGACTTTAGAGAGTACGTAAAACCTATGAACTTTTTTACAAAAGGTTCACAAGAAAAGAGTATATTTGCACAGAGACCTTTTAACAGTAATGTATATGTTTTGTTGTTGGATTTCTCGAAGTATTGAGATTTATGCATTGAATGTTGTATACAGACTGTAGTTGATTTAGTTTTCTGCGATGGTTATTTGCCGCAGTTATCAGATATGAGACTATATTCGTAAGAATGTTAAATTTAACATTGTGATGTTTTAACTGCAACAATTAGATATGTCATTGTTAACATTGTTGATTAATTGTTTATGACTACAGTGAGGGTTAATGCCACTGTATATATATAAGTATATGACTTTTTTAGATACTATGAGGTTGAATGCCACAGTAAGTGTGCGAGGAAAATGCCGCATTCATTTGTTTGCGAGGAAAATGCCGCACTCATTTGTTTGCGAGGGAAATGCCGCATTCATTTGTTTGCGAGGGAAATGCCGCATTCATTTGTTTGCGAGGGAAATGCCGCACTGGGTTGTTTGCGAGGGAAATGCCGCATTCATTTATAGTAGTAATGTTAATTATATTTACTTTGTTTATAGTTATTACTTGGTATTCATTATTATATTTATTTTACAGATCAATGGAAACAATTTGAGTGTTATGCCAATGATTCGAGATTTGCCAGTATCATACGAGATTTACCCTCTTTTGTCGAATCGTCTAGATCAAATTCTACAATTAAGAAATACAAGTGCTATTTTAAAAAGTTTGAAAAATGGTGTGTTTCATGTTCACTTGAGTGTTTACCAGCGACAACTACTACGATTTCTATGTATATAGGTGGACTCATTCAACAGGGATCCAGTGTTGCGATTTTAGATGCAAGTTTTTATTCAATAAAATGGTTTCATGACTTTAATTTCAAACATAATCCTTGTTCAGACAAATTCCTTGGTCTTATTTATGAAGGAGGAAGGAGATTGCTAAGTAAACCTATAAACAAAAAAGAACCTATTACGCCAGATATATTAAGGAAAATTGTTTTGAAGTTCGGAGATCATAATAATCTCAAAAAATTGCGTGTAGTAGTATTATTTCTGTTAGGATTTTCTGGATTTTTGAGGTATAGTGAATTGGCTAACATTAAGATGAATAATATTGAGTTTCAAGTCAGTCATGTTAAAATTTGCATTGATAAAAGCAAAACTGATTTATACAGAAGGGGTAATTCTGTTGTTATAGCTGCAACAGGTACAGATTTATGTCCAGTTTTTTGGTTAAATAAGTATATCAATTTAGCTGAATTGAGCAAAAATTCTGATAGCTATATTTTCAGAGCACTGTCTTTTATGAAATCGAAAGATGTTTATAAATTATGTAATATAAATAGTCCATTGTCCTATACCAGAGCGAGAGAAATTTTGTTAGAGAGTTTATCAGATATTTGTTTAGATAAGCTTAAGTTTGGGCTTCATAGTTTGAGAAGTGGTGGCGCTTCTACGGGAGCTAATAGAGGAGTCTCTGATAGGTTACTTAAAGTCCACGGTAGATGGGCTTCTGATAAAGCCAAAGATGGGTATATTAAAGACAATTTAAAATCTCAAATGGCTGTTTCCTTGAATCTTGGCATATAGTTCTCAAATTATTTATTCCTTTGTTTTATCGAAGTTACTGCGAGCAAACAAACCTAAATTATGACTTGTCTCTTATTTAGCCATGTATTTAGTATAGAAATGTTTTAAATTCGGACGAATTCATGAGGGAGAATTTAAATTTATTTCTATTCCGTTATATTTGGAATTTCCCTATTCTATTTCTATCTTTAGACTTGTGGTACAAGTTTGGCTAGTATGTAAATCAGAAGTGGTCTGATGTTACTGTTGTTTTCTGCACGAATATTTCGAGGGCGGTAGTACGGGTGGGGTTTATAGGCATATATAAGTCCTGATTACGTTTGATTATTATCGATGTGCTCCAGTAACTTTGATAGACGAAGTTAACGTTAAGCTCTGCATAATATATTACAGTTATGTTTGTATTGATATGTATTTAGAGGACATTGTGAATGTATATAGATGGAATTGTGGTATATTTTTGTAATTTGTAAAATGTTTACAAGATATTAAATGTTGTTTCGCTGAGAAAATAAGAAAGTTACTGCGAGCAAACAAACCTAAATTATGACTTGTCTCTTATTTAGCCATGTATTTAGTATAGAAATGTTTTAAATTCGGACGAATTCATGAGGGAGAATTTAAAAAGGAAAAACCTGATCAAAACATTATTCTAAACAGCCTCACTGTAAATTCAAACTCTTCTTTTAACAATCAGAATGATCCTCTTGCTGATCGCATATATATGAGATGCAGGAAGCTGGGAACACAATATGAACATCCAGCTAATTTAGAAAGTAAAAATAATTCAACAAACAGAAAGCGTTGTTTGCAATACTAAATAAAAAAAAACAGCTACAACTTTTAGATATTGATGAAAAAGATGTTCCAAATCCTCCACATTTTCATGAAAATCAACAAAAAATTAATTTAATAAAGTTATGGAATGTATAACAGTATTCATAGTTTTGAAATTAAACAAATGTTTTATTGTTTTAAATTTTGTAAAATTTGCACAAAGAAAGAAAAATTGATTTGAAAATGGCACAAGGGGTGGGGGGTATGGTTTTTTGTTTGAGTTAGATTTTTTTTCACTCAAAAGGCTTCAACACTATCAATCAAAATTATTTGTTCAAAAATTAACACTAGAAGGTATGGGGATAATCTGGATTCAGAACATTTTTTGTCCTCTGCTTGATTAGAATATTTTTTTTCATCAATTTGGGAGTTCAATGATCGTTCCCTTAACATTTTCCATCTGAAACTTATTATTTCATTTTAAACAAAAACTATATGTAGGACATTCGTCCTGAACATGCATGGAATATTTGCCACTGGACGTTAAGCAAACCAACAATCAATCAATATTTAGGACATAGTCTTGGTAAGCTGGCATTGAAGGTAGCGCCTTCCTCATATTAAGAAGAATATAGAATAATACAGGCTAATGGGATGCTCTAGTTTGTACCTTTCAAGTGACATCGAGACTCGAAAACAAGTTCATTATAGCATTAAAAACTGGACGGTTTCACCGCTTTGAGCGTAACAATTTAAATGACAGTGTGGATTCACATGGCGGATGTTGCATGGATAGCAGGAGACGAACCTGGTTTCGCCTCGTTTTGGATATCATGCTGTTCCTTCAGATTTTGTGAGTTAATCTTAATTTATCTATGTGATTTGCACATCGGAAAACTGTCATTGCCAAAATTGTACTTAGTTGATTTTAACAGTTTTGTTAAGTTAATGGATTTTTGCATGTTTCATATTCGTAAAAATATTAGCTACTGTAGGTCACACCGAACGCTTAATGTTACCGAAAAAAATGGAATCGCACTTTCAATCATAGCTTATGATGATTTTCAACATATCATTGATTTGTATTGTTTAATATTTTTTTGGACAACATATATGAGGGTCGTAATGGGGGTACCTTCATGACGAATAACGGTAACAAATCTTGCCAAATGACGTTAACGGTAATTTTTGGTGCATGACGATAAAATGTACACTTTCTTTAAGACGATTATGATGATTTTCAACATATCGTTGATTTGTATTGTTTAATATTTTTTTAGACAACATATATGACATGAAGAAAAAGAACAGTCTTTTAATGAACTTCTGTACATTCTGAAATAGATAAATCGACATGTATGATATACAAAATGTATTTATTTCTTATTATATGTCTTTTCCCATGGAAACCGTTTCCCATAGTTACAGAAAAACATTAAGAAGACGTCTCCATCATGACTACTAGGTAGATTGTCGCCTTGGAAACGGTATCTTAGCAAATAAGCATCACCCAAATTATCCCCATACATTTTTGGTTCTTTAGAGTTAATGTTTATAACACCAGAACAGCGTTCATATTTTGGTGGGTTTGAGCTTTTTACGTGGCAGTGAGCCTCACAAACACGTCCATTAGGATCAAAAGCTGTTACAAACGTTTGGACTGTTTCACCATCACTTGGGCGCTTTAATGCAACATATGCTACAGCTTCACTGATTGGTTGCCGTTCATCAACTATAGCATACTCTTTATAGTCTCCTTTGTACGATAATCCTGTTGTTTCGACAAAAATTTTTGATTCCCCTGATCCCCTTACTTTGAAATCACCAAACGAAGCAGGATTACCTTCTCGTAGTTTTTTCCAAAGTCTTGGATACGCACGTGGATCGTACAAGTCGCCATCTTCGAAGTGCAACGTTTCTTGTCTTTTATGTTCCGCCTTTTCTTCCATTGCTCTTTGGTATTTAGCCGTTCCAATATTGAAACGGCAATTAGGTGGACGTTTGTATACTATTCGTACTGGTATGTATGCCCAATTCTTTGAGGAAACAATACCATTTAACAGGAAGTCGTTCTGAATCGGTTGGTTACCAGGCGAAACATTATTTGATTTTCTAGTAGACACATTTTGAATTACCGCTGATCTTTTGAAAATATTCTTTTGTGAGTTTCTTTCATCGTTCACAGATGCAACAAAGCCGTGAGATACCTTAAATTTTTTTTCACTGGAACGCATTCTTTCTAAAAAGTCAACTTCTGCAGGATTTACTTCAACAGAGTAACATACCTTTCTTGAATCATTTCTCAAAATATGCGGATAGTTGCCACAGTTTGGATACTTTGGTGATTTTGCGAAATTAATCAAAAATTTATCGGAAAACATATTGTGACTACAATCTGCTTGGGTTAGATTAACTTTTAGATAATCTGCGATCATAGGAAGGCGCGTGTCTGGTTCGTGTAAGTTCATAGTGTTGTTAGGGTAATCACGGCCTGGGTCTACATTTTTTCTCCTTTGATTTTCTCTAAATTGTTCCCAAACATAATCAATGTAATTATGATGACAAAAGAAAAATGGATCACATGGTGCGTAGTTAAGATCACTCATAAGACCCCCAATATACACATGAGGATTGTTGTGTTGTCTTTCGATTTGACCCAGAGATGTTCCTAAAGTGACCTCTCTCATATGTTTATGAGACATAGTTTGTTTATACCCTTCATCTGTCATAAATGATCCAAACCGCCCACCATCTCGTTGTAATATCACGTTTGCAGTCGTATTCCAATTTTTAAATGGCCCAACCTTAATAGCTCCGCGGAGATTTCCAAAATACCGTTCACCAAATAAAACACTTTTTTTGGGGTCTTTCATGTTGTGGTCCAAAGTTGTATCACAGTATGGTAACATAACTCGGGGGTTCTTATCCCAGATTGCTAGCTGTAATCTGCAATGTATAGAAAGGCAATCGAAAGATGAAGTAAACATTATTTTTAAGTTGCTTGTTTGGAATGACAGAAAAAAAAACCAACTCCAATACTGACACCCCTATAAAAATTTCTGAATCCACCACTGTCTGTCAATAAACAATCAAACTTAATATCAAAATTTGCTAGAAATAAACACATTTAGAAGCCCTGAATACAGTAATTTTTATATGATTTGTATACCTACTATTCAACTAATAAGGCGTCACAGTAAAGAGCAAAACCAACAATTTAGGTAATATACAAAATATTGACTTACTGTTAGCCGAAGGCCCAAAATATAGAATTCACCAATCCAGCAACTGGAAGAAGATCTTCCGTTGCTGATGGATGCAGTTCAGGACTATGTCAGAAAAAGCTAGATGAACCACAACTGGAACTTTATCTGAATAGATAAAAGCTGTCCAGTCATGCATTCAGAAGTGTACATTCAAAATCTGCAATGTACAATTAGCACACGGGTTTCTAATCCTTTCAAAGAGCCGGAGATTATCGGCATTTTATTTTCTCTTCACGACAAATTTGTTGTTTCCAACAGACAAAGCCTCATACAATATTGTTTTTACATGCAAAAACCATTCTTTGGAATTTCTAACTGAAACATTTGGAATTCGAAACAAAAACAGAATCCTAATTATACACACCATCAGTCACATAAGAGAAACTTTTAGAAATCACAAATCCGCCCTTCTCTCCTTTGGTTTTAACATAACAAGTACGATGAAAATGTCCCGTCTTTTTACAGGATACCTAAATTTCACAAAAAATCATTATTAGAACGATATACAGCGTCATCAAAGTTTTTACGAATACAGTTCTTACTACCATTATTTCTACAGTAATATATGGCCTTCAGAAATATTTTGATGAGGTATGTTCAATCAGCGGTGTCAATCAGATGTGGATACTAGAAATTCTAAAGATCTACCCCAATATCTTTTACACTATTATTCCCATGCTTAATTGAATGATCGACTACACCGTCTCATTAAACAACGTTTTTTCTACATAGATGGAAATTGTAGATACAAACTTCTTGAAAAGTATTGAAAAATCTTGATACCATTAAAATGCTGGAATATTTTTTTTTGACAACATATTTGTTGAGATTGGTTGAATTGACATTTTAACAGACAGTCAGTATCCCAATGGGTACTTCAATTGCTCCCCTACTGACCGACTTGATTATGTACGCATATGAAGCAGAGTTCATACAAAACCTTCTAAATGACAAAAATAAAAAAGCATCCTGCAATTTTGTTTTTAATTATATTAATGATGTTCTCTCACGCAATAACCCATAATTTCAGCGTGTAGTTGTGTGTCATTTATCCAAGTGAAATTGAGATAAAGGATACTACCGAAACTAGAAAGTCTGCTTCATAGCTTTACTTTTCCTCGGTATTTACAAAGATGTACGACTTCAAACTAGAATAGGTGAGAAAAATGCCATGTTTTATCACATTCTTTGAAAAGAACTATTTTGCTAAAGCCGGTGTCGTCTTAAACTTGCAATGAGGTGAGAGTTTTTTTGCTCCGTGTTGATGGCCTCACTGTGACTTTGAGATGAGAAACAGCAATAAAAGCGCTGTTCCTTTGCTTTTTGTGTGTTTTTTGCTGAGCATGTACTGATTTTGTGTTATGGATGGATACCCCATATCCTTTGTTTTTCTATTATGTAATTAGCTACTTGGTATTTCACTCAGTTTGTACACTTATTGATGTTTACCATTTTACTTGAATATAGACACGATATCCTGAAGTGTAACAGAAGTTCGTTGTTAAACTCGTTTATTACAGTTGATCAATTTACCATGATATACCTGTGACAATATTTCGTTGTTCTGGTTGACAATATCAATAATATCAGAAGAAGAAGTTAGCGATAGGTTCCCATGTTCAATGATATTGTTATTTAAACACAGAAGATATGCTGTCTGTAATCCCTAAATCCAATACTGATCGCAAATTGTCGGGAATCAAATTATTAAAGTGATTGTCCTGGTTGTTCATGGACATTTTTTAGAGGGTAGAATTTTATAAATCTAATACTGAAATACGCATATGTTTCAAAAAATGCTGGTTTATCATTTTTTTTATTTATTAGGTCTGCGGAAGCTTACATATGTTCTTGAGGTCGATGGAAACATTTGGTCCGTGGTTGTCCTACATATTGCATACCACATTTAGGTTTTGTTTAAGTAACGGAATTCGTTCCTGATGAAGGTACATCCAGAAAAGCGATTCAGACGAATAGTATATGTAGAGTGTTATTTTCATGTTTTATAGCACTTGGACAATACACTATCAACTCTGTAGTCAGTAAGTGTAGAAATTAGTAAGAAACTAAGGTTCCAACTCCCTCAGGCAAATTTGACCTTCGATGGAATTGACTATTATTTTTGGTCTTTTTTTGTCAAGTAGCTGTTCACATGTTTCAATTTTTGTACATCCTTGGCTATCACATAGTTGGTTTTGGACGTTCCTAGTGAAGGTAGATCCAGAAAAGCGTTTTAGACGAACACAAAGTTTGTAGAGTATTATTTTTATATTCTGTTCACAAGATTTTGAGTTTTTCATGTAATATTATATTTTTACGTGCTTGTCCAAAGCCAGGAGGTCTGTAATTCAGTGGTGGTCGTTGGTTCATGTCTGTCATATTTGATTCGTAAATTGTATTGTTATAAGTAAGATCGTTAATTTGCTCGTTTGTATTGTTTTCTCATTTTTCATGTGGGGCATGTTATAGCTGACTATATGATATTTGTTTTTCTCATTGTTGAAAGAAAAAATGGCGACCTATACCTGCTCATATTTTCAAAATTTGAACTCTGGTAGATAGGTGTCTCATTGGCACTCATACTACATCCCCTTATTTTTATATCATAAGAAAAAGAGAGATGAAACCTTCGTCCGTTAACTGATGGGGATAATCTGGAACAAGTTTGTCATTTTCTGGCATTGCACGGGAAAAGTTGTGGATATCCAAGTGTATATCGGTTGTATAATGTGGCTGCAGAGGCGTCGATGCTATAGTTGGTAGGGCTTTTATTGCGACGGCGGTTTTTGATTTACGTCAATTGAATTTATGTTTGAAATGTTGTTTTGAAGCAAACATAGAACAAAAAAACTGGCTTTGGTATAAATTTAAACGATCCGGTGTTGTCTCATAAAGCATTCGTTATATTGCAAGCGGCAACCAGTAACAAGCTATCATTCAGCACACGTCGTAGTACTATCTAATGCCTCGTTTACACATACATTAAATTCGAATTGAATTCGAATCGAATGCGAATCGAATTCGCTAATTGCGTTCACACACTCTTCTTTTTTTAATTCGAATCGAATTCGAATTGGCTAATTCGCATTATCCAATTCGCATTAGAAATGCGTTTTCGTTAATGCGAATAAATTAATTCAAATTAAACTATGGTGTGGACACTTCCTCAATTGTAATTCGAATTAGATTATAATTAATTAATTAATAATGCGAATTAAAAGTTAATGTAGTTCGGACAGCAGGGCGAATTTGACGCGCATTGTAATTCGTATTAAAATTAACGTGCGGACGTTTTAACGTTTCGAATGCGAATTAAACTAATTCGAATTAGTTAATGGGAATCGATTTCGAATTAAAAGTGAACGCAGCATAACAATCATAAACGATAACGAGTTCTAATACAACACACTTCTTATTACAAAAAATAAGGAGATGTGGTATGATTGCCAATGAGACAACTATCCACCCAAGTTCAAATAAAGTGGATGTAAGCAATTATAGGCAACCGTACGGACTTCAACAATGAGAAAACCCCACACCGTATAGTCGGCTATAAAAGGCCTCGACACGAAAAATATGCAACAATTTAATTGAGAGAACTAACGGCATAATTTATAACAAAACAAATAACGAACAACAAATATTACAGACATGAACCAACGACAACCACTAAACTACAGGCTCTTGACTTGGGACAGGCACTTAAAGAATGTGGCGGGGTTAAACATGTTTGTGAGCGCTCAACCTTCCGCCCAACATGGGGTCAGTGATATAAGAGCACAACATAAGAACAAACTATAAAAACCAGTTGAAAAAGGCTTAACTCATCAGATTGATACAAAGCAGAAAAACATCAATCAAAAAGACAGACCGGACGTTGCATGGTATTTATCCATCCCTCATCCCTAACAGAAAAAAACCCACTAAGTACAGATCTGAGAGTTCTCACAGTTACTGACAGCTATTTCAAAGCCAATAACAACTAATAAAAAAATCATGTATCTTAGGCTAAAATGTCCACTAGTCGTATTCGAATGATTTCTAATACTACAAATACACTTATTATTGTTCAACCGTCTTAACCCGTAATGAGTTCCAATACAACACTCGTCATCGTGTCTAGTAGTCTTAGCCAATAATGAGTTTTCACACATCGTATTGTCCAGAAATCATAGGCGATAATGTAAAAACTAATACAACACACATCGTTTTGTCCAGTAGAGTGAGTTCGTCTAACAGTCGTAGCCGATTATCAATAACATGTACCATTTAGAATATAGCAAAGTGCTCTCGACCAATGATTAGGATTGGATGCCTCTTAATTGTGAAGAATGAATGTAAATCATGTTCTTAGTAAGGGATTATCCTATTATTTGGGTATTTACAGTTCAAAACAAAGAGTTTCTATAAATGAGTTATAACTGCCCAGAAACACATTTATCAGATTGAAAGGATTTATCACACAGTGAATTGAAACTAACTAAAAGTTAATAACTTCAAATTACTAAAGAATTAAACAATACCAAAGCAATGCAAAAGAAGAGAAAAAATCTTTCAGATAAAAAAATAACCTAAATCTTTAGCTTTCCAAAACTTTGATTACTTGATCAGCGGTTGGGAAGAATAGTTATTTCCAATATTCCGATAAAAAAAAAATTAATTTTGAACATATTAAAAACTTTTATAGGCATTATTTTTGAACATTTCCTTGACATAATGAAATAAAATTTAGTTGTAACTCAAATGCATTAATTGATTTAAATTGTAAATAAAAAAAGGATAATTCCTCACTAAAATATTACATGATTTACATGCATACTCACAATCAGGAAACATATACAATTCCTACCTTTTCTTTCTACTGTTGTGTCACCTAATATATATAACGCATTTCTTTTTTTAAATATTTCCCAAATGATAAGAAAGTCCTTACATCACTAAAACTAGTATATGTAAGAGAATGATAATCCCTTTCTTCATGAATAAGTACGAGCGTTAGCGAGTACTTATCATGAAGTAAGGGATTATCATTCTCTTACAAACTTAGAATATTGTAAAGTGCTCAAGGCTCAAATGATCTATTCAAGAATTAGTTGCATTGTCAGTGCAATGTTTATAATTGATGCATGACTTCCTTTTTCGGCATGTCATTTATGGATAAGTTTTAGTGATGTGAGGACTTTCTTTTCATTTGGGAAATATTTAAAAAAAAATGTGTTATAGATATTAGGTGACACAACAGTAGAAAGAAAAGGTAGGAGTTGTATGTTTCCTGATTGTGAGTATGAATGTAAATCATGTAATATTTTAGTGAGGAATTATCCTTTTTTATTTACAGTTTAAATCAATTAATACATTTGAGTTACAACTAAATTTTATTTCACAGCCAATAAGATTTAGGTTATTTTTTATCTGAAAGAATTTTTTCTTTTTTTTTTGGCATTGCTTTGGTATTGTTTAATTTTATAGTAATTTGAAGTTATTAATATTTTCATAATAAAATTCACGGTACCAATTTTACTGCACCAGTAAACTTCAACTTATTTTGAGATTTTTGTTTGTTTCACAATTTAACTTTTAGTCAGTTTCAATCACTGTGTGATAAATATTTTCAATCTGATAAATGTGCTTCGGGGCAGTTGTAACTCATTTATAGAAACTCTTTGTTTTGAACTGTAAATAGACCCAACTAATAGGATAATCCCTTACTAAGAACATGATTTACATTCATTCTTCACAATTAAGAGGCATTCAATTCTACAATTTCATTGGTCGAGAGTACTTTGCTATATTCTAAATCCATAAATGACATGCCGAAAAAGGAAGTCATGCATCAATTATAAATATTGCACTGACAATGAAACTAATTCTTGAATAGATCATTTGAGCCTTGAGCACTTAACAATATTCTAAGTTTGTAAGAGAATGCTAACGCTTGTACTTAATCATGAAGAAAGGGATTATCATTCGTCGTACTGTACAGCGGTCTAAGTCAGTAATAATTTCTCAACAACCCATGTAGTATTGTTTTACAATGATAACTTCTAATGCGTTCTCATACAAAACGCTTCGTATTGCCCAGCAGTCGTAGCCATTAATATAAGTTATATGCTTTGCTACTGACGCCATACGGTTTCAAAGAGGGTTAGTAAAATCCATAGGAGGTGAGGCCGAAGGCCGAATCTCCTATAGATTTTACTAACCTTTAATGGATCCGTAGGGATCAGTGGTGAACCGTATAACGAATTTATCGCACACGGAACTTTTCCTTTTTTAATATAAGCAATGAAATACAAAAACATTAATCGATGACATCACCATTAATAGTAAATGTGACGTCATGACCCCAATATGAAATCTACTGACCCCCTACGGATCCATAGGGGTTCACCACGTGACAGCTTTAAACCAATCATAACGTCATAATTTACCCGAGGTGCGATAATGAGTTATTATGTTATATATTTCGTATTGTTTATCAGTCTTAGCCTCTAATGAGTTCTCATACAACAGACGTTGTTATCGAAGTCTTCGCGTTGCCAGGTAAACTCAGTTTGTGACAGTAAAACTACCGAGGGACGTCCGCAATTCTTCAAATACAATACAGATATCTCTTAAATCTAAACATAATCCTTAAGATTCTAAAACGACGAATTCGTTGCCATGGTAATAGTTTAACGAACTAGTGTTTTAGTGGTGATACAAGTTCAGGCTGATTATACCACTGACTAAGAGATTTATGTCCGTAAACATTTCAGATGCATATCAAGTAACGTACTTGCTTTTTATTTGTTTAATAATAATGACTCTTGTTACCTTTACAAATAATAATAAAATTGAGAATGGAAATGGGGAATATGTCAAAGAGACAACAACCCGACCAAAGAGCAGACAACAGCCGAAGGCCACCAATGGGTCATTAACGCAGCGAGAAAATCCCGCACCCGGTGGTGGTCCTCAGCTGGCCCCTAAATAAAATTGTGTACTAGTTCAGTGAAAATGGACGTCACACTAAACTCCAAAACATATAAATGAACTAAAATTAAAAAAACATACAAGATTAATAAAGGCCAGAGGCTCCTGACTTGTGACAGGCGCAAAAATGCGGCAGGGTTAAACATGTTTTGTGAGATCTCAACCCTCCCCCTATACCTCTAGCCAATGTAGAATAAAGAAACACATAGCAATACGCACAGTAAAACTCAGTTCAAAAGAAGTCCGAGTCCGATGTCAGAATAGGTAACAAAAGAAACTAAGCAAAATGACAATGATACATAAATGAACAAAGGACTACTAGCAGTTACTGACATGCCAGCTCCAGACCTCTGACTGCCTTGAAGTCAGGCAAACGTAAAGGAAATAAATAGAGTTAAACGGTAGCCGTCCTTGAAGAAAGAATTCATGTCGATTCTTAGCTATTATCACCAAGTCATGTCGTTTTCACCTTTGTCAGGCATGGTGACGTAAAATACTTTTGCCGTTGAAAAACATCAGAATTTTACGAGAGGAGAACTCAGTCGTAGTGATTATGCTTGTGTCATGAGTTAAAAATTCCAGCCTTTAATATAGCTACTCATATGTTGTCTGACTGTAAAGTGCATGTCCAAAGCCAGGATAAAGAAGGAAGGAAGTCTTTATTTTTTAATTGGCGCAATCGTATACTTTATTTTTAAGCGCAAATGATTATATACATTTTGGAAACTAGTGGTGCAAACGTAGCATTGGTGCAAATGTGTTATGGCGCAAAATGACGCATTTTTGGCGCAAACGGATTTCTATTCGTTAAACATCAAAATATAGACAATCAATTAAAAAAACAAAAACAAAATTTATACTCACACCAAATTATATATTCTATGCCATCCTAGAAATCCAGGTCCAAAATGTGCACCCATTATGGCTGCTTGTTGATGAAGTCTTGTAATGGCATCATAGGACTGTAAAATATTTATTCATTTTCGGTCACTAAAAGTATCTATACCTTAACTAAATGACGCTGAAATATTCATATTTGAAAAAGTAAACAAATTAATCCAGAGGACAACTGAAATTGACGAGTATTCTATATGACTCTTCTTTTCTGTTGTAGACATAGCCATGCTCTAATTCCAATAAACATGGGGTGCTCATGCGTTACATCTGCATTATTATATCTGTAACGTCCGTTGTATTTTGAACGTCGTCGGAGATCAAAATGGACATTTCTGCTGGTGTTGTTTGGTAGGAATTAAAAAAAAATATTCTCAAAGAAATTCTATATGTTGTTGTACACGTTTTAATCGCGAAAGGGTTTGTTTCTAGAACGTTTTATCTTGACAAATTAAAATGTCTGAATCACTTCGATTGTAATAGGATAATTTAGAACTTTTCCACTCCGAAGTGGACCTATCATAATCGTTAAAATCTCTATACTTACAGTGTTATGCAATAAGTATTCGTGAAAAACAACGTTTTGCTATATGTTTTATTTAAACTACTTTTTTTTTTAAAACACGCTCGGTTCTTTCCCTTGTCATGAAGGTTATTTGACACCCGGGAAGCTCGAAGGCATGATCAGAATCAAAATGAGACGGACAAATCAGAATGAGTCATTAACAATTGTTTTCACATTTGGTAAGGGCAGTTAACATCTATTTGTAATAGTTTTCTTATCTTTTTAAAGTAATACAACTCTTTTTCTAACTTTTAAAGATATAATGTGTAACAGAAGAACATGATTTGTCCCCGGGGTTTGAACACTTAAACACTGGCACAACTACCCATCGTTCTTTTAAAAAAATTTTTTTTTATCTTTATTTAATATTCAACATTTATATATAACAAAATATAACACAAGAATAACCATATTACAATGACCAAGTACATTATGTCATATATAATCAAAACGCAGTAGAGTAGTTATATATGAGGGTCTGGGTGGGATTCACAGTAAAGAGAATAATGGACAAAAAGTGCAGACTAAAGGGGAAAAAAGTAAAGAATAGATAAAAATAGGCAAAAAAAAATAAAGAATAGGGAATAATGGGTGCTAAAGAAAAAAAAAAGAGAATAATGGGCTAAATAAATAAAGAATAGAGAAAAATGGAAAAAAAAGAAAAGAATAAAGAAAAGAAGGACCCCATCTAGACCCTAATATATTGAATGCAATTAATACGCCTTCTATTTCCCGTTTAGGTATATTGTCCTTGAAAAGTTTTTTTCAAAAACCTTTCTCTTATATCTTACTTTGCATACAAAGGAGAAAAAAATATCTAATTTATAACAGAATACAATCTACGAAAAACAAATATGACAGACGTGAACCAACGACAACCGCTGAACTACAAGCTCCTGACTTGGAACAGGCACATATATAATGTGGCGGGGTTAAACATGTTTGAAGGCGCAAACCCTCCCCTAACATGGGACAGTGGTGTAAGAGTACAACATAAGAACACACTATAAAAAATCAGTTAAAAAGGGCTTAATTCATCAGATCGATACAAAGCAGAAAAACATCTAACAAAAACAGACACCGGACGTTCATATTTTGAGTAAACTTCTTCCTCTGAATACATTATATCTAGCTAGAGAAATAATGTTGCAAGCACTTTTGAATGTCAAATTACTAGATTAGATTAAAGGATGGATTGTTGCTTGCTTATCAAGATATAAATATTATGGAACTATGTAACGGAACATACATTCATACTAGGTTTTAAGATGAAAAGACGTAACCAATTGCGCATCACTGTTGTGTAATTTGTAAATTTTAACGAACCTTTTGTATTCCGTGCATTTAATAATTACTGAATGATAAATTTCTCCTTCCTTTCATTACCGTTATAATGTTACTAATATTGTTTCCCTTTATTCAGTCACATTATAGCCTTGAAAAATTCAAAATGTATATCGATCGATTTGCCTAAAAAACAATTAAAAAAAACCAATATATAACTTTTTTTCAAACACGGGGCTCTCTTTTAACCAGCTAACTTATCATGTTATTTCGTAGAATTCAGTTGCTTAATGTGTTACTCATCATATTGTTAGTAAATTGTGTTTGCATTTTAAACTTTTATTACCAATATTGTTTCATTAACACTTGTGGCTGTCTCCCAACATATTTTTCATCCATATATTTGGAGAAATGGTTTGTGTTTTGAAAAGTGAAAACAAAAATACATTGAAAATGTCAAAATGTTCCTCAATAAATCGTCTGTTATATGTGATAAGGGGAGGGTTGGCGCCTCAAGGTCAGATAAACCAAGCCAGAAATATGTTCTCATTAGTGCGTCGAATATCTGGATTAACCTTCATCTGAAGTACTCAAACATTTGATTGATTGGCGTTTTAACGCCACTTTCAACACTATTGTGTTATTTCGTGGCGGTCAGTTTTTATTGGTGGATGAAGCAGGAGTGCCCGGAGAGAACCACCGACCTTCGCTAGGAAAACTGACAATCCTAGTCAATTAAGATTGCAGTCGAGTGCACCTACCCCGTACGGGATTCGAAATCACAACACCAGTGTTGACTGGCTACTAGTTCAGTAGTTCGACTACTAAGACCACTCGGCCACCGAAGCCCCTCTCAAACATTTGAAAGCTAGTATGTATAACAATGTAGAAACGTTATGAAGAACATGACCAAAAGGGACCAAAACAGAATAGACAAATGCCTTTAGGGTATATTTTGCCTGATTGAGTTGGAACCTTAGTTTCCATAATATTTCTTAGTTCATCAACGACGAATCATAGGACAATATATTGTAAATCATGGCAGAACCGAAGCACAAACCACTGAGCTGATGATAATAATTTCAAAATGTGGCAGTGATTTATAGTATCCTTTTTATGTTTTATTTTGTATTTTAAAAACTTAAACACAGAAACACCGGTATTTGTAGTACAGAAGGCCGAAAAAGAACTTTACACCGGAATTCACTACTGTCAATTGGATTTTTGGATAAACATTTAGGATAAGACCGACACAGATCTACTCCAGATATACCAACAAAACATGAGCGTTCTAAACCAGGAAATAACCCAACAGTTATTGACCATAAGGACAGCGACGACCATGATGATGATTATGAGTATTTCATAATTACAGAAGTCACAGAGTTTTAAACATCTGCATATCGAAAGTACACCCCATACACAAGAAGGAGCTAAACAGAAATGAAATCGAAACTTGGAAAAAGAAAAGTGTTTCCGTTTTCTGAAATATTGGTTTAAAACTCTAGTATGGAGGTCTCAAAAAGGCAACGGACAATGTCCTATCTCTTATTAAGATACCTCAATTTGTTTCATAGTCGAACAACAACTCCGTGTGAACTTAACAATACTTAAATTCATATTCAAATTTAAATGTTTATTGCCATATAAACTTTAAAAAGTAATTTTGTGACAAGTACAAATTAAGTATACAATATAACTGGAATTCACAATAATCTACTTAATGATTTAATTACAATAAATAGTCCGGAGTCCCCAATGCTTGTTTATATAGGACCCCGATTTATTTACTGGTGATGGGAATAAAGGATTGAGCATAAAAAAGATCACCTTTTCTTCAGCAGACAAATCTTGAACAGTAATGTTTCTTTCAAAATTACTAAAAAAGTTGATTCATAGTTCCCTATTAATTATCTAAATAAGAAGGAACATTCCCGAATATATTTTAAAAAATATAATTTTAAGACTTACTCCATCTTTCTTTAAAGCATTAAGAGCAGCAAAATAATCATCAAGCTGTTTGTTTGTCATCGTCCGGATTTCCTTTCTTTCATTATTCCACTTCCATTTAGCACTTCTTTTCCTTCGTTTGTATTCAGACTCCAGTCCCTGCAAACGACGACCAAGATGTTGAAAGTATCGTTCGTTGTCTTCAGTGACCGGACTGATCACATCATTATTCACATTATTATAAGCAACTTGGTAATTTTTACACTCGAACAGGATATCAAATGCTGGTATCCTTCTAGGTGAGACTCCACGGCTACGATCTATTAAGCATTTCTCCATTGGACCAGGGAACCAGTCCTTGTAAATAAGACCTTCGACTCCATTTATGACTATTAGGAAAAGAACCCAGTACCAATTCATCTAAAGTGAAGGAAGGAGAATCTGTTATTCTTTTATACAAAACAATCAACATCAATACTTTATTCCCATTAAGTAACATAGTGTGTTACATTAACACAAAATATAACTTTTATGATACAGTAAAATGAAAATGTAATATATTCTGATATTTTTACCTTTTTTTCATTATAAAATATGTAGCAAATCCGAAGAGTCAAAACGTTGCATCTTTATCGATATTGCATGTTATAGTTTCTCCTTAAAGTCCTTACACACGAGAGAGGTACCGATAAAAACGACATTTGCACGCAAGCAAACGAGAGATAAACAAGATGGCGGAAATAGGCATTGTGTCCCTACTGCTTGAATCAAGGCTGCAGGAATTCGACGAAGTATCATCAATGTGGCTAAGATATTTGGTTCTAACTTCTATATCATAAAAGGGTTATTGCAAGCTCCGGAAAATATTCCTCAATACTAGTGCAATGATCCTTTAGTATATAAAAAATATAAAAGCATGAGGATTAATTATGATAGCTTCTTATCCCGGCTAAGTATATTTCTAGGATTTTGATTGGTTAACGCACGTCGTTAAAAAACCCATAGCCCCGGGTGTTGCTAACCCATATATCCCGGACGTTGTTACCTATTACCCCGGGGAACTTCACGCGCGTTTTCCTTAGTTCCATGGTTGTTCCTTGTGAAATATTGAATTCTGTAGATTATCCATGATGTCTGTAATTAAATATTTAATCCACTTACGATTTTATCCTATTATGCTCTGTCTCTGGATTTAAAACATCTTATATTTGACTACCTGTACGGTTCTACCACAGGTAGTACCCTACACCCAGTAAAAAATATGTCAAATTCTCAAATTTCAATAAAAAATTTTAAATAATGAAAAAAAACATTGCTTTCACTTGCACTTTGTGGTCGAATTTCCCTTAAAATCGCCCGATTCGGACTTAGACTGGGGATAAATTCGTTACCTACGTTCATATCCGTAGATATGGATATTTTAACACCCTTCAGTACCCTGTACAACCTTCGGCTTCGCCTCAGGGTGTACTTGGATACTTCAGGGTGTTAAAATATCCATATCTATGGATATGAACGTAGATAACTTATAATATCGACGTCCGTTCTAACTGGAGACTGACTCATCTGACGTCACAGTCTGTAATACTGAAAGTCCGATTTCCCTTTTTTGCGCTAAACTACGTCGCACTATGCAACATTTTCATGCAGCTATAACCGCCGTTCTAGAACTTATTCATAAAAGAAAAGATTACAGTCTGATAGAGGGTTGCTGCTTACATGAAAACGATTAAACCAAGAGTTCCAAGTGGTGAAGTTAAACTTATTCCTTCGTAAATGTTACGGACGCCATCACGAGTTGGTTGACCGTTACGGAATATCTGTTTCACAGATGACGACGGATATGTTCCAATTGTTGTAACCACAATCCCGTTCTCTTTCACCAGAATATGACTTACCGAATTAGACTAATCACTGGGTTTGTACTTACAAGAGCAGCACGATGGGTGCCACATGTGGAGCAGGATCTGCTTACCCTTCCGGAGCACCAAGATCACCCCGATGTTTGGTTGGGTCGTGTTGCTCAGTCTTTAGTTTTTTTATGTTGTGTTTTGTGTACTGTTGTTTGTCTTTTGGTCTTTTTCGTTTTTTGCCATAGCGTTTTCAGTTTATTTTCGAAGTATGAGTTCGAATGTCCCTGTGGTATCTTTCGCCTCTCTTCTTCATACGCCCTGGTATTTATAAACTCTCTAGTAGATTTTACTCTGTAAATTCTTTCAAATTCATGCTACCGATTTAAAGACGTTAGTGGATGCGTTTTTATCTTAGCCTGCTACTATATCGTATTCCTCATCATTTAGTCAAGTAAAATTAGCAAATATTGTTTATAATGTGTATACATTTGATTATTTATCATTTTATTTAATTTTCCGATGTAAGCAAGTGTAAGAAAATTTGTGGATCCCCTTTCTATATCAACATTTCATTGATAATTATAGTTAATTAGACCAGCTCTATCTTATGTTTTATCAGATCACACAACGGAAAAAAACACGTACCTTTCTCCTGCCTGGTTTCGAGAAGTGAAAGTGAATTAACTGGGATTATAAATTATCAGAGGAAAACATGCATGGATAATAAAAGCAATTGTTCGTAGCATATGTCACCGTTTGAAATTAAAAAGATCACACCTACAATGTAAAAACAACTAATAAACTATATATTCAAAGGTATTATTCTCTGTTTACTCAACCTCAAGTAAACACAATGAAATAGATTTCATACATAAATAAGTTTTACATTAATTAATATAGTAATAATGTGAAAACATCTACTAAGTATTAGAAAATTAGTGTTTATATACCTTTTATTATTTGCGCAAAATGAAAAAAAACCTGAAACTTCCGACTTTTCTTTGATATACAGTGTGAATAGATTTATATTCAGTGTTTCCGTATTATAGATACCATGAATAAGCGTTAATTCTTGAAAAAGAAATCATGAGCCCGGAGAGCGAACACTTATCCATTGTATCTAACCTAAACTATTGTGTTGATGTCTTTTCAAAATTAAAGCCTTTTCTTAATTAGAAGATATTGAAAGTGAGTTTAAATAACCATGCTATCATGTTCAACGATGCATTAATAAATCAAAGTTCACAAGTAATTGGTTAGAGAAATACTAATATAACATACCAGGTCTGTCTTTAAATTATTATGCATCTGAATATTATCCGTAATTTACAAAATAAGACATATTCGAACTTATATCTTAGTATATGTATTAAGTATGTTACCGAAATTTCTAGCAAGAAACCTAATGCTAGGCACATAACGATTTACTCGCAAAGGGATTTGCGAATAAAAATTTGTATAGATATGTAGTAAAACAAATGGACAAATTGAATGTAATCATTTTCTTTTCAAATACGTAAAATAGCCAATAATAATCCAAAATTTAAAAAAAGAAGGAAAATCCTCTATTATAAAAAAAATATCCACAATAACATACAAAATAAGAAAATCGGAAAAACTAAATAATAGGGACAACAAAGAGAAAACAGGGATTCGAACCTAAACCGACAAATTGCAAGTCTCTTCTTATAACTTAACTCTATAACGCATTGATCTTAACCTCGCGGCTACTGACTTATACTATACGATTGTCTATTATGTATATATATATAAAGGTACATGCTCCGTGTGTCCGTAGTACCAGTGTGTATCATATTTTCATTTATATATATAAAAGATAAAGGTAAATTGCAACCCTTTGGTAGCCGAGAGGTTTCGTCGGTGTGTTGATGTCAGTCACACATAACATATTTCAAGGAGGGGTTCGATTTTCAGTGAAGGCATATAAAAATTACATAAGTTAAAGATAAGTTTTAAATTTAATTCCTTTAGTGAACAGACATCAGTAAACTTGATGAAATTAGGCACACAAAGGAAACAATTGAATATAATTTGGTGAGTCAATTTCAGCAACAGATTTAGGAAGGAGGCTTTGATTCTAGAAAAAGAAACCACGGTAAATGAATAGGCTAACGTCACGTCAATGGTTTAAAAATAATTAGAATATAGCAAAGTGATCTCGACTAATGAAAGAGTAGAATTTGGTGTTCCTTAATTGTGAAGAATGAATGTCAACATGTCCTTAGTAAGGGAGTATCCTAATGTTTAGGCCTATTTACAGTTCAAAACAAATAATTTTTATAAATGAGTCACAACTGCCCGAAGCACATTTATCAAATTGACAGGATTATTAATTGAAAGTTGAATTTTAAAAGAAAGAAAAAAAGAAATCAAAATAAGTTTAAAGTTTACCTGTGCGTTATAATTGGTATCGTTTATGTTATTATGTGATTATTAAGAACTTCGAAATTACAAAAAAAAAAAAAATAACGCATTATCAAAGCAATGTGACAGAAGGAAAAAATAAAAAAATAAAAAAACTAAATTTAACCTAAATCTTTAGCTAATACGCTTACCAAAAATCAGATTACTGTATCCGCAGTTCGTGGGTATAGTCATTTCCAATATACCGGTACATACATGAAGTTGAATTACAAACGAAACTTTTGAATTTCTTAAAAAAAACAATTTTCTTTTAATTGTTAAATTTTAGTTACTTAAGTAGTATTTGATGTAAAAAGCTGGAATAAAATTGGTTGTGGAATGCAATATAGTTGTAACTCTGATTTTTAATTTATTAAATTGAACTATGAATAAACAAAAAGATAATTCCTCATTAAATTATTACATAATTTACTCTCATACTCACAATTACGAAACTTATACAATTTCTACCATTTTATTGTACTGTTGTGTCAACTAATGTCTAATAAAGGCAACAGTAGTATACTGCTATTCGAAATTCATAAATCGATTGAGAAAAAAACAAATCCGGGTTACAAACTAAAACTGAGGGAAACACATCAAATATAAGAGGAGAACAACGACACAATAGAAACACAACACTAAAATGCAACACACACAGAAACGAACTATAATATAACAATGGCCATTTTCCTGACTTGGTGCAGGACATTTTAAGAAAAAATGGTGGGTTGAACCTGGTTTTGTGGCTAGCCAAACCTCCCGCTTTTATGGCAATGTTAAATATAACATTAAAATGACAAGATTACATGACAGGACTACAATACAAATAAATAGGAGAACATGCAGGATAGAGGCACACACACAAATAATAGCTATCAAAAGGTACCAGGCTTATAATTTAATACATCAGACGCGGGTTTCGTGTACTTAAGACCCATCAGCGACGTACAGATAAAAAGAGTTCGAAAGCCAAAACAAGTACAAGGTTGAAGAGCATGGAGGACCAAAAGTTCCAAAAAGTTGTGCCAAATACGGCTTAGGTTATATGATAAGAAAATCCTTAGTATTTGGAATAATTCATATTTTTACAAACAGTAAATTTATAAAAATGACTATATAATAGATGTACATGTTAACACCGAAGTGGTGACTAACTACAGAATAAAAACGAATACGTAAAACAACCTAAATCAGCACATAAAAAGGCACAGCCGAACAACGTATTATATGCTAGCCGAAGAGATCGACGCACAATGTGACGTCACATACAAATTTCCAAATAATAGGATAGAGTTCAAGATTAGGTTTGTATTACTGATATAACATGTATTAATAACAATGAAAAGTACAATACTTATTAATATACAATTGTGGTAGTAATTAGATAATTAATTGTATTATCAAGCTATGTCGGTATTTCTTCTAAATCAAACTGTAAACCAAATACATCGTATAAATTTAGTTGACCTTAACTAAAATCTTAAAAAATGAACTGGGTGATTAATTATCTTTACCGTAACACACGAATAGAACAGAAAAAAATAAGATTTACAACTACAAACGATAAGACATTTGACAAAATCCGATGAGAATAACAAATATAAAATCAAAACTAAATGCATGGATTTTGGATAGAAAAATACCGTGACACGTCTTATAGCAATGCGACTTCACGGATGGTAATATTATTTATGTAAATTTCAAGGCATTGTCCTTTGAAACTTCTACATCATCGAATACACGCATTCGTTAAAGTTACTGGTATGGAATTTAATTCTCCTGATGAATATACCAAAACTAAATATTCTGAATACGTACACGGTTTTGTTAGTGATTCTATGTAAGCATACCACTTAAGGTGTCTTCCTCCATCTTGGATTTTGAAGTAGCAGATAACAATTGGTCTAGAACTTTAATGAAATGTTCAAATTTTGTAGTATGTAATTCATGTGTAAGACTTTTCATGTTAATATAGAAAATTATGTGTTTTATCATATTTACGGCTGTATTTTATAAAAAAACACAATATTTTGATTTGATTCATTTTTTTAAAATTTTGTCACATAAGGGGAGATAACTCAGATAGTAGGGGAGATAACTCAGATAAAGTAATTTTTATAATAGAAAGTGTTGTGAATTAACCCATTTTCATATGTAGCAAGAAAACAAGTCCGGTGACCCCATTTTTTCTTTTTCTTATCTGAATGCATGTTATAAGAGCTATCTTCTCACGTTTTATCTTTTCTTTTTATCACACAAAATTGGATTTTCCATGCACAATCTATACAAAATCTGACAATTTTGCACAACCTGTAGCGTAAAAAAAAGTCAGGTAACCCATACTTTTTATTATATTTTGGAAAAAAACATAATAAAAACTACATTTTGACAAATTATTAAAAAAATCTATGGATTTTAATTAAGACCCCATCCACCTTAACGCGATGACAGCATTTACTTGTTTTTGCAACCCCTCTCGACTATGCATTTAAACATTTTATCCAGTGCCCTATATTTTTCGATACTTTTTCAAAAACAATTTGAATATTAAATACAGTTCTAATAAAATTTACCCGCGTATTGAATATACATTTCTTAACTCATACGATATTCAAGAGCTTGCAGCTGCTACTCAGACTTTGTAAAACGTCATCGGTGTCTGAGCAAAAAATTAATGAGCTAGGGTTTTGTCCTTTTTCACAAAAAGTTTCTTCTTTAGTTATACATGTTTTAGATTATAGGTGCTGAAATTGTGTATCTTTTTATTTACTTTAAAGTTTTCCCTTTATTTGTGTTCGTGCAATTATGTTTCTTTTGGTCATATACTTTTGACGTGAGTTGGTATTTATGCATCCCGCTATCGGGTTTTTGACTTTGGGGGTTCCTGGTGCAGGTGGGTCCAGATTTGGGATTCGGAGGCAAGAGGTTTTTACAGTGTTGTTTCTATTTTGTGGACCCTTGTTTTTATATTTTACTTAATTTGTACTTTATTGAAAATGAATGTGCTATATACGGTATGTACTGTCAACTACACAAACATTTTTATAGGAGGGAGTCTTTTTCAATTTACTATCAACTACAACAACTTTTTTGTTTGCGTCTTTGTTAGATTTACTTGCATATTTGTTTGAATTTTGTATTCAGTTGTGTTGGATGTCTGTGCTGTATGTTAACACAGCTGCTGGATCCCAATTATTGTCACATTAACCTATTGTGTCTGTTTGGGATGCTCA